CCTGCGTGACGCCTGCCGCGACGCCCGCGCGCAGCTGCACACCGTGCCCTTCGGCACCCTGGCGCTGGGCGACACCGGCACCCTGGACCGCTTCTACAACGCAGGTGAGATGGGCACCTGCTCGGCTCTTCTTCCCCACGTTCGCTGGGGAAGGGGTCCGCAACCCTCCCAGCCCATGAATTGCCTGGAGAAGAGCTTTGCAGTCCTTCCAACCGGGAATTTCTTTTGCCCTCCTTTGCCTGCTGCCCTGGGGTAGGGAATCTCTGTGGAGTGGAGGAGAGGGGGGGTTCCCAATATCCATCTGAGTGGGAACCCCCCCTCTCCCAGACCCACGGGTAGTGCCTGGGTCTGGGGGTGCTGCCAGCACCAGCCCCTGGGATAAAATGGTCTCCGGAGCCATAACCCGGGCATCTCCCCCCAGGGAGCAACCACCGTCTGGGTCCCAGGACTGACATGGCCAGAGTCACTAATAAGTGTCTGGACCGGTGCTCGGCCGTCCTGCTAAGAGGGGGGAATATCCCATTCCCACGGGAGAGCGTCTGTCCCGCCGGGCTGAGCCGTCCCGCAGCCTCCCCCAGCTCGCCGGCCGCAGGGACGGGGGGTTGCTTTGCTGTTTGCTTTGCTGTTGATTTTCCAGGCTGGTCGGGACACTGTCCTCCCTGTCTGGATACACTCGTGTGACACCCCTGAAAGGGCGTTTTGTGCCGGGCTCGTCTGCGGCCTGGCCCCAGTGCGGGGCTGCGCTCAGAGAGGGCTGTGGCCAACAGGGTGTGTGGGGAAGTGAGAACGCGTCCCCCGAGGAAAGGGAAGTGCCGGAGCATCCTGCGATGGGGAAACAGTTCGCTCAGCACGGGGGGGTTCGGGGCCACATGTGCTGGGGCAGGACGCCTGGGTCCCCCTGCTCCCGCTGTGCCTCCCTTTCCCTGGCTTCTGCGCTTGGCACGGGGGGCTCCTCTCCTTGGCTTCCTGGGTGCTGGGGGGACATGGAGGTGGCTGCAGCCTGCCCGCCCGCCCCCCGTGGTCCCGTGTCCCCGCAGACGTGGCCGTGGTGGAGCTGAGTGACTCCATCTGCCAGCCCTCACTCTTCTACCACCTGGGCGTCCGCGAGAGCTTCAACATGACCCACAACGTGCTGCTGTGCGGCCACGCCGAGCTGCCCGGCCTGCAGGCCCTGCAGGTGCGCGGGGACAGCAAAGCCAGGCGCTGTCTGCCCTGTCCCATGTCCCCTACCCGGTCACCCCTGTGCAGCCACCGCAGCTCTCACCCCGCTCCTCCCCAAGCCAAGTTCCTGCAGCTGCGTCCAACATCGGTTGAGATGTCCCTGGGATGGAGGTGACAGGAGCAAGGGGACAACCAGGGATGGCAACCTGGAGCACGACCATGAGGCACAAGGTGCTCCCATGGCTCCAATCAGCCGGGCATTTGGGGACAGGTGCTTTATTCCTGAGAAAGGCAGTGCCTTGGAGCTGAAAGTCTTCACAGCAAGGGGCTGGTGCGAGGGATGCTCCAATGCTGGAGTCTGGAAGCAGCTGATTTCTCTCCCTGTGCTGCAGAGCTGTCTCAAACCCTCCTCCCTCTCTCCCGCAGGAGGACATCTGCCAGAAGAACTCGGTAGGTCCCTCTCCCTTGTCCCTGCTGCCATCACCCTGCAGCCCAGATGGGAAGGGGAGGTTTGGGCAGGTCTGGCACAGCAGCCCACGCCTCCTGCCCTCCGTCAGGACCTGTGCGGCAGCTACACCTTCATTCCCTACGTGGTGACGCCCCAGAACAAGGTCGTCTGCTGCGATGCCGGTGCCATGAAGTGCCCGGCTGAGCTTTTCCAGCCCGGCTTCAACACAGAGGGCTTCTTCACCCCGCTGGCGGGCCGCCTGGCCAAGCTCCTCGAGGGGATCCCCACCAACTCCTGGTACTGCTGCCATCTCCATGGACAGGGACACCCTTGAGGAGTCACTCCCGGGGTTGGCAGGGCCCCAGCTGTGCCCGAGGGGCTGGCTTGCACCCTGCAGGGTGCCATGTGCTGCCTTCGTGTCCCCGCTGCCGATAGCGGGCGGCTCAGGCCCTGCGTCTTTCCCCCCTCCATCAGCGGTTATTTTCGGGAGACGATCCGGCGCGACATCCGCCGGGCCCGGGAGCTGTACCGGGGCGAGCAGCTGAGCCAGGAGCTGGCTCGCATCCAGCAGCGCCTGGACAGTGTGGAGCTGCTCAGCCTGGACATCGTCATCAACCTCCTCCTGTCCTACCGCGACGTGCAGGTGAGCCAGGGATGCGCCAGCCGCCGCGTTGGCATCCCAGGAGGGCAAAAGCCCCCGGGCAGCCCCATGTGCTGGCCTCGTCCTGCAGGATTACGATGCCATCGTCACGCTGGTGGAGACGCTGCAGGCGCTGCCGACCTGCGACGTGGCCGAGCAGCACAATGTCCGCTTCCCC